GAAAGAGGGGAGCATCCCTCAGCTGGCCCTGTGGGGCAGGCAGCAGGTTGGGCTGCATGGAGCTCAGCCGGCGGGGGAGCTCGCGTGGTGCACGAGCAATCCCCCAGCAGCAAATTGGGCTGCACCACGGCAGGCAGTGGTGAGAGGAGGCGACACTGAGGCAGAGGAACCTGCACACACAGGAGGGGGGCTTTGCGCCCACTGGGACTCAATTTGTGGGAGGGGCTGAGCACTGGCTCAGCCCCCAAGGGTGCCAAGGACTGGACTTCTGCAGGCCCCCGTCCACTGCAGGGCTAGATACCCCAGGGCCACCTACCCACCTACCCCCCACCTTGCTGCACTGCTCTGCCCCTCCATTTCCCTGGCCCATCCCTGGCCATCTTGACCCAGCCCTATTCCCAGGAGCACCCTGCCCCCATCTCTCTGAACCCCCTCAACCACTCTGCCCCCCAGCTATAACCCCAAGCACTCCCTGCTCCCATCTTTCTACCCTAGGCCAGATACCCTACTCCCAACCTTCTTCTGCAACCTACTTCCCACCCAGACCTTGCACCCTCACCCCCTTATGCACCCGACCTCCCTCCTAGATCCTGCACCTCATCCTATCATACTTGCTGTCAGCCCTGTCCCACACACTGAGCCCCCTCATTTTCGGCCCACTCTAGAGCCTAAAGGGATTCATAAAATCCACTAACTCTGGCACCCCAGAAGAGTAAATCTAGCCTATGGGAAGCCCTGAACCTCAGTCTTCCCTGTTCCTTTAATTCTCTTCGCCCCGTGGTGCTGGAGTGCCAGAGGAGTGAGGTGTCTCCCTTGGGGGCCATATCAGTGAGGATTGGGTGAGTTTTGGAAGAGGTCTTTGGGGGGATTTTTTGCTTCTTCTTGCTTGTGTGGTCCCCCACTGAGATGGCTGTAGCTCAGTGGCCCTGACAAAAAAAAAAAAGATTCCCTACATTGGCCATAATTTAAAAAACAAAACAAAACAAAAAACAAACACAAACTTTTTCCTGTTGGATATAAATTCATATTTTAGTTTAAATGAAGTTTGATAAACTAACATGAGAAAATTAAAATGCTTAATCTGTTTATTAATTTAAATTAAACCTTTCTCCCTGGTTGCATCACTAGAAAAATCTCTCCGGTGTAATGATGTAATTAACAGAGAGTGTCCATTAGCAACTGGTGCTCCGTGGAAAGGTTCACATAGAGCCAGGTGATCCATGGGCTAAAAAGTTTGAGAACCATTGCCCTAGTTTGAATTTTTTTTTAAATTAAAAATTCATAAATTGAATTTAGTAATTTCAAAATAGTCCATGTCTGCTCTAGGAAACTAACAACAACATATCTACAGGAGGTATCATGAACTTGCATGGGCACAACCCACTTCTTCCGAGGAACGGAGCACGTGGACTGGAGCAGTTTCACTGGCAGACAAAACACATGGCAGGGGTGCAGGACGAAATGTGCATCCAGCTTTTCTCTTCATAAAGAGCAGTCCTGCCAGGACAGGAGAGTCAGAGGATGCCCCGGGCTGCCTTTCCCAGGGCTAAGTTGGGTAACACTGTCATGAGCTCCCTTCCACGGCCGCTTCCTTTCCCTTTGTAAATGCGTCAGGTTTGCTGCAGACCCAGCGCTTCTCCCCGCTGCACCGCGAGCTGCTGGCCCCGTTCTCGTCATTCAGATACGCGCAGTCGCCTCCACCTTGGATCTCGAACCTGCAGCACAGGAGCCAGGGAGCTGGTGTCAGGCAGGAGCTGGGTATTTCCGCCTACAACCCCATCTGTAACAGCCCCGACAGAGTCCCCTTCCTGCCCCCGCACCTGAGAACCCCCTCAGCGGATGGAGGCAGTGGGGCAGCCGGGCCAAGAGGTTCTAAGATGAACTGGCCGTGTACACTGGCGGAGGGGAAATTTCAACCCCAGTTGCTGCTCCCCATCCAGCTGGAGGTGGGATGGACCCCCAGCAGCCCAACCCCCTCCCCCAAAGCTGCCCTGGGTGCAGATTTCAGGGCTGAGGGCAACGCCAGCCTCACAGACACAGCAGCTGTTGTATGATCCCAGCACCACAGACCTGGAAACAGGACGGGATCTAGGAAACCCTCACGTGGCCATTCCCTGCCCAGGTCCTATCCTGGCTAGGGGGCATGTACCCAACAGCTTTGTGTCTGGCCAGGCTGGGGACTCCTCCTCTGCCCCAAACCACCAGCCTCTGGCTCCAGGGCGGCTGGGCTCGGTAGCAGAGAGGGGAGAACCCTGCCCCATCCCACTTAAGCAGATACCTGCCTACGGGGACTCGGCAGCATCACCCCAGCCGAGCTCTGACTGGACGGCAAAGACGCCCCAGAGCCTTCTGCTGGGGCAGGTCCCCACGCAGCACAAACCAGGGTGAACACCCCCCGGGATGCTTGGGGCAGCTCCTCCTCAGCAGACGTAGGCCAGCATCACAGTGCTGATAACTCTCTGGGCTGGGGTCGGACATTTGCCTTGTCCAAGAGTTATTGGTCAAGGGTGGCAGGGCTGCACTCCAGGCCACGCCAAGGGCTGGATGCTCTGGGTACCGCCCCTTCTGGGAGCCCAGAAACGCACCCCCCCTTTGCCCAGGAGCCAGCGAAGGCTGCTCTGTGCACACCTGCCAGACTGAGCCCCACAGTGGCCTTGAGTGGTGGAGCGTGTCCCCCTCCTATTCTACGCAGCACTAAGCCATGAGGCAGAACATAGGCTAGCTCTCCTGCTCAGGTGGGACCCAGTGCTGCTCAAGTTCAACCTAGGAATGTGGCAGGGATACAACATCCCCCACCAGAACTCAGCAGCAGGGCTCTACGCGGCGAACCCAGCCAGCCTGCGCCACTCCCGGGCTGTTCTCAAGCACCGGCCCTCTCCATGGAGCCAGGCTGGGCAATCGCAGGTAACTCCGGTGTGCTAACTCACCCCGTAGGTCCTGCACCACACGGGCCGCAGGCAGGCCAGTCAGCACACGGCTGCAGCCCGAGCAACAGCCTCAGAGCCCCACAGAGAGTTACGAGAGACGTGAAATCCCATTTCAGCCACTAGCTGGTTAAACGTGTCACTGGTTAACTAGCAGCGGACTTGCCGGTGATTCCAAGCCCAGCTTTTCAGAGAAGCACCCTGGGGCTGGCAGCTTCCACCCAGACAGCTCAGTGGGGATGGGACAGTGGGGGAGGATGGGGGCATCCAAGGGCTGTCAGTCACCACGTACCCAAGTCCCAGGCAGACAGCAGCTTGTACCTATTGCTAATACACAAGCACCCCCCCCCCTTCCCCGAGCGCTCTCTGGATGCTCCCACAGCACTGGCTGAGGACTTGGCCTGAACTTGGTACCTCACACGCCGGGGACCCAAAGCCCAGGGCATGCATGGGGGAGGGGAGGGGACAGACTCACAGGTGGTTGAATTCGGTGCCGTTGGCCCATTTCCAGGGCTGTCCTGGATCCCTCCGGAGGCTGATCCAGTGGTGGGGTTTGCCTTTGTGGCGCAGCAGGAAAGCCTAGAACAGCGGAGGGGGAGGGGGTGTGGGGGCAGGATCCTGCTGCTCCCCGACTTTGGGTGCACAGAGGGGTCTGAGTGTTCCCAGGGGGTGTCTGGGGATTTTCCCCTCCCCCTTGCCCAGCTCTGGGTAATTCAGTATTAACCCTCCCCCGCCCAAACCCAGCTCCACCCACCCCAACCTCCCCAGGGCTGGGGTTACTCTTGGGAGCTGCTGGGTCCAAACTTCCCCTACCCCACCCTCCAGGCTGGTCCAGGCTCTGTGTGAAACTCTCACCTGACAGAGCAGCTGGGCTCTGTCCAGCCCTCCCCGGGGAAGGGAAGGGAAGGGAAGGGAAG